GCAAAAATAATAAAGTATTTCCTTAATATACTGACTGAAAAAAGTCTCAAAAAACTTGTATATTAAAAAATGTTTTTATTTTTGTTATATTTTTATCTGCTTTTTTCTTCGACTTGTATCAATTTTGGTAGTGGAAAATAACAAACGCCCTTAAAATAAGAAAACAAAAACAGTTAAATATTTAGGTATGTTATTTTTTTGACAATATATATTTTTAATATATTAGTTTTCTTAAGCTTTCATATTTAGATTTTCTAATTTGAATAGTCTTCATTTTCTTTCTTTGAGTATTGCTGTTTTATTCTCTATAGTTTCTTATAGCTTTATTTTGCTGCAAATTCTTAAAACGCTTGCTATATAAAAATGAGGTCAAGTTGTTTAAAAAAATTGCTTTAAGCATGGATGAACAAGACATACGACTGCACACGTTTCTTAAAAAGGTTTGATATATATCAACTTTCAGAATTAGGAAAAATGAGGTCAGCAATAACTTGCCGACCTCAAACTGTTAGAGGTCAGCATCCGGTCGGCAAAAAAAAAATTGAAACAAAGAGGTAACCATAAAAAATAGAAATGAGGTCAGCAATATTTGCCAACCTTAAATACTTTTAAGTTGGCAGTTTGATTGGCATTGCCAAATGCCTACCCTAATTCTGAGGGCTGTATAAAGTGCTTGCTAAACGGTGTAGACATATATCATATTATGTCAGAGTTGTTAACAAGACCAAAAGTAGCAAGGCCAAGGTCACACATTTCAAGGCCAAGGCATAAAGTTTAAGGCATAAAGGACAAGGCATAAAGGACAAGGCCAAGGCCAAGAGTTTTAAGATGAAGGTCAAGTTTAAGAGTTTCCAGACCAAGGTCTACGCAAACATTTTTTTGACTAAACACTTCAATTTTTTCCGTTCATTAAGACCAATTATTAACAAAACAGTAAGTAGCAAATGCTGTGACAATAAAACCACATTTTGTAAAAATAGACCAAGGTTATGTGCAGAGTTTAATACTATCAGTAAGAAAAAATGTATTTTTTTAAAGGCCAAGGCCAAAACAATCAATGCCAAGGGCAAATTTTCCAAGACCAAGGATAACAGTTTCAAGGCCGAGACCAAGGCCAAGGCTTCAATTTTTGGCCCCAAAGCCAAGGGCTAACAACTCTGTATTTTATATTAAAGGGATCCCCATGCGTCAAGACAAGTTGTGTTCATATCAAAGATAAACATTAGAAATTATGTTAAATATTAATTAAACCTTCCAAAAGAAATTATTAAATGAGATATTAACAAAAGCATTTACAGTTTTGCCATTCTACTTCTGGTTGAGAGCCTAATTTTAGGCTCTCTAATCTGCAAGTCTTTTCTGTTAAAAAACATCTGGTTTCACTAATAGATAATTTCTCTTACTGCAGAGTTTTTTAAACAGTTCAGTTTTACACTATCAGATTGGGCTTTCTCCTTTAAAAATAGTCTACAGTGGTTATAAAAAGCATTCACTGAACTATGTTTTTGTTTTTTGTTCAATATATTGTGAGTTTTTTAAGTTAGAATAAACTAGCGTAATAAAAATAGTAATTAATCGAAGTGAACTTATTACTTTTATTAAAAAATACAGCAAAGTATATGTTTTCTTTTACAATCTGCAATTTATTTGTACTATTTATCACTAAATCACAAAAATAAAATAGTATTTTTGTGATTTTAGATTATAATAGCACAACTTGTTATTAGCAAATGTCAAGATTATTTTTAAGTTTTTGTATCATACAAATTTGTATAGTACTTAAATTAGTATTTTTTAAAAAAAATTCAAGAAAATTATTTTTAAAATCAATCTTATATATATTTTTAGCTTATATTTACATTTTATTATAGTAATTTATTCTTATAATTCATAATACTGTTTTTAAAATGATCTAATATATATTTATTATATTGATATTAAAAAATTAAATCTTATATTTTTGTTTAACTGCAAAAGGGAAACCCCAAACATACTCTAGATGTTTAACTCCATTTAGGTTTTTTAAAAAAAACTTTTTTTATTGACATCAAATATTAAAAACAAAAACGCATTAATCAGACCAGATTATAAAAATATTAAATATTCACAGAGCCGGATCTTTCCTTCGCGAGAAACAAAATGGCGTTAAAAATTAAAAGTCTTTTGTTAATATCTCATTCAATAATTTGTTTTGGAAGGTTTAATTAACATTTAACTTATTTTCTAATGTTTATCTTTGATATGAACACAACTTGTCTCGACGCTTGGGGATCCCTTTAAGCAATTTAATAGTAATTCTCATTAGAGCAAGTTTGACACGGAACCCTCAGCAGCCATTGCAGTTGAGGTAGTGGCGAGAAAAAGTTGTCCACTTTTTTTTTATAAGAAAATGTGAACAAAAGTGCATTCAGTTATCTAACTTACATAAGCTTCAAGTTATGTAATGTTATGTAATGTTATTGCATATAAATAAAGTTGCGCTTATATATAAACAATATATAAAAACAAATGTATTATATGCAAATGTAAAAAATCCACTTATACAACATTTTATACAGGATCATGTGTAGTATAAGAAAACATTTTAGCTGAAGCTGTTTTGATTTGAATTTTTGTATTTATATTATTGTGTTTTAAAAAATTTACAAGATTGAAAAAATACGAAACATTTTGTCTCATCCAAGTGAAAATTTGAAACTTCCATTTTAGATTTGCTTTTCTCTTGGTAATTTCTGATTGCTAAAGTTACGTCATCTACTTAGACAATTAAAAATGATAGAAACAGCTTTTTCGTATATTGTCAGAACCAAAATTTTTCTGCATTTGTGACTTCACTTGGTGGTGAATAACTTACTAGAAATATGATTTTATTTAGACTTTTAAGGGCAATTTTTTTATTAAAAAAATATAGAATATACTTTTTATGGGATTTATTCTAATAAAGCCTAAATATAGTATATATTATTATCGTAATAAATAATTTTCTTTTTATTTAAAAACTCATCTGTTTATCTGTATATCTGTACCAGTTTTATATCTTTTTGTGCTGCAAAAATGTATGCACCATAATTAAAATTAATCAAAAAATGTAAGATAAATGCAATTGCAAACTTGATGTATAAAAGTTTATTTTTCACTAACTGACCTCACTGCGCAAAATATTTTTAGCTTAACTTTTAGATTAGCGTTTTGTGGCTAAGGGGTCGTCCATAAATTACGTCACGCTGTAAGGGGGGAAGGAGTTTGGTAGTTTTGTGACGACTCATTCAAAACTCGCTTCTTAAGTGTTACGATTTTGTGACGAGGGGGTGGGGGGGCACTTATTAGTTTTCACTTTGACCCTCTATTTACTAGACTAATAGCATTACAAAGAAACTTCTATAAGTGTAAATGTCTTTAGCATATGTTGAGTTTGCAGGCAGTATATGAAACAATCGTGTATAATATATCTATAAAATAAGAAAACTTTAAAAGTTTATTTTAACAGTTAGAATTCTCAGCCTCGACTGTATTTGGGCGCTGCCCAAATTAAAATTTGAGGAACTTTTTTTTTTTTTAATGTTTTTTTTTACGTTTTTACAGTAAATATCGCAAAAAATGTTGATTTTTTGCTAAAGTCTGTCAAAACAGGGAGGGGGGTACTGCCCCCTAAATTTTTTTCCTAAAATAGGCCCTGATTGATTATATGCATATAGAAGAAAAACAAACCTAATTATAAATCTTGTATAAGCTCTGCGTATGCGGAAAAGGTGCGCATATTTTTTTTGCTTTTGGAGCAATTATTTACAATGAATTATTTTACTAAAAAATATTGAAGTAAATAAAGAATATGTATAAAAATGATTGATTTGTAATAGATCAGTATAGAAATGGTGGTTTTGGTACAGATCTGTGTTTTACTTGTTGAAAAGCTAGGATATATATGAGGAAAAAGTATAGAAAAAGTTGGTGTGGAATAGACTTACAAAGACCCTTATTTATATTTTTCCGATCAGCTAGTATATATATATATATGTATATATATACATATATATATATATATATATAAATATATATATATATATATATATATATATATATATATATATATATATATATATATATATATATATATATATATATATATATATATATATAAATATACATATATATATATATATATATATATATATATATATATATATATATATATATATATATATATATATATATATACATATATACAAAAATACATATATACATATATAGATATATATACATTTTTTAAATTTACTTCCTCAAGGCCGAGAAGGCCACTACAGACGAGGAGGCTACTTATTTGTGGTTATATAACCCTCTCTCAACTTTATAACTCCGAAACACGAACCTTGACAAACAAGGCTGCTGCGCGGAAAAACGAGTTGAGCGCGGTACTACCAGGGATGTGGTGGGGATTGAACTCGGAACCTATCGCTTATGAAGCAAGCGCTCTACCACTACGCCACTACCGCATATATATATATATATATATATATATATATTTATAAATATATATATATATATATATATATTTATATATATATATACATATATATATATATATATATATATATATATATATATATATATATATATATATATATATATATATATATATATATATTTATATATATATATATATATCTATATATATATATATATATATATATATATATATATATATATATATATATATATATATATGTATATATATATATATATATATATATATATATATATATATATATATATATATATATATATATATATATATATATATGATATATATATATATATATAAATATATATATATATATATATATATATATATATATATATATATATATATATATATATATATATATATATATATATATATATATATATATATATATATGTATATATATATATATATATATATATATATATATATATATATATATATATATATATATATATATATATATATATTTAAATTTTAGCACAATCAGCAGACACTTCAGCTACAGTAATAACACAAACTTCATCAGGTACTATTAAAGGTTTTAATAATATTTTAAATTAGTTCATGATGTTATGTTATTTATTACATGTTATTTTGCTTGGAAAAAGTTTTTTAACTGTAGAAATAATTATTTTGATTTTACCACAGACTATACAAAATCTTGTAATATATTTTAAAATGTAATTTTAGTTAAAATGATTGTAAAAATAGTGTGTTTCAAAAATTAACTTTCTGGTTTTGATAATTTGAAAATCGCTCACTCAACTAACTCATAATTTTTTTAATTTTTATTTAAAAAAGAGTATTAAAATAAAAATGTTTAAATTTTGACTTATTGGTTTAGTTTAAAACTAAACCAATAAATCAAATCATTTACACTATTATAGCATAAATGATTTGATTTATCTGTGTTCTGTATAGACATCAAAATTTGAACAATTTGAACAATTACAACAAGGCTGCAAGCAACCACTATTAGCAAAAATAATGATTGATAGTCAAATTAAAAGATTGCAAATTATATGAATCATGAAACCAAGATAAAGGAAGCGAATTCCGAGGAGCGCATATTTGAGGAAAAAAACTAGATGAATAAAAGTTTTTGGAACACTTAGGAACAGTCCCAGTAAAAAGATGAGACCCAATAGAATGACGAGTAGCACAAGAATGAATTTTAGTAGGTGGCACAAGAGTTTCAAGTTTTTTAGAGCAGTGCTTATTATAGTATTTGCAGAAAAGAAAATAAGAAGCAACATTACAATAATGTGATAATGGTCAGAAGTTAACTGCAGGTCCAACTATGTTTACAATGTGTTTTTGCACCTTGTCTAAAAAAGGAAGGACATCAATGGAAGATCCACCCAATATATGGTAACAGTATTCCGTACAAGGACAGATTTGAAATTTTTGGAGATAAAGAATAGAATCTGGAGTAAAAAAAATGTCGAGCATGATAAAGAAATGCAACCTTAGCAGATGCTAGTTTTGCAATGGATTTGATATATGGTTTCTAAGAAAGATTGTAAGATTTAATCCTAGAAGATGAAAGGTAGATTACTCATTGAGTACATTACCATTCATAAATATAGGAAGATCTAAATTGTTGCCATAACAATTGGCTGAAAAAATTGGGTTTTGTCTGAATTAAAGTTCACCTGCCACTGTGAGCCCCAAGCTGTAGCAGAAGTGAGATCCTTTTTAAGCTCAAATTCCCCCTCTAAGCAATCATAGGGTGTTGGCTTCTTATCAAAACAAGAATTAAAGGTAGTATCATAAGCAAACAATACCACCTTAGATGTGAGAATATCTGGAAGGTTAATAATGTAAATTAAAAAGGGCCAAGAATACAACCTTGAGGAATCCCTGAAGTTACAAAATGTGAAGAAGAGTGCTGTCCATGGAGGACAACTATTATTTTACAATTGGAAAGGAAGGATTCAATAATCTAAAAGATGTTACCTGATACACTGTAAGAAGAAAGCTTATGGAGAAGACCAGCATGCCAAACTTTATTAAAAGCTTTAGAAATGTCAAGAGCAATAGCCTTGACTTCTCCACCTCTCTCTAATGCAAAATAAAATCTATCAGTTATTATTGCCCGCATATCAGCTGTAGAATGAGAAGATCAAAATCCATATTGATGATCAGAAAGTGAGTTATTAGATTATTTGAAAATCTTTTTGAAAATAGGGATAACAGATGCCGTCTGATAAGCACTTGTTAAATAGTTTTGAAAGTATAAACTACAGCTCCAGTGAACAATTCTGCAAGACAATAACAAGTATTTTGTCTGGACCACAAGCTGTAGAAGAGTCAAAGCAGGAAATCACTTTAGATACAGAAGCTGGAATGATATGAATGTCAAGCATTGGATCATCCTGTTTGTCAACTATATCAGGTAGAATGCAACTAGTGGAATCAAGATGTAATATTGATGAAAAGTTCTTACCAAACAATTCAGCTTTGTCTTTAGGTGAGGTGACAAAATCTAAACCATACAAGAGATGGAATAACAGATATGCCCTTATTATTGATACTGATAAAGAATCTCCAGTAGTCACAAGAGGCTAATTTTTTAGATAAAATACAAGATTTAATGACCTGAGAATAGCGGCCTTTGACGTTAGGGCATTAGACAAAATCTTTTTACAATGGCTTCTAGCAATGGTTAACAGACATCTGCTTTTTGGAGAATTGTTTTGCTGATAAATATGGAATTAATGGTTTCAATTGGAAATTGCAGCAGTGCAATGTAAGGTAAAACAAAGAGAAGAGTAAGGCTTGACTTGGAATCGTTGAGAGGGAATAAAAGATTCCATGCCAGCCTGAATCCAAAAAGTTATGTAAGGAGCACATTTATCAGCAGGTAGACGAAATATTTCTACCCAAGGGTCATCACAAAGAAAACCACGGAGAGAGTCACAGTCAGCTTTAAGGTAGTTGTAAGAGGTAGGATGATAGGGGGATTCTGATGAAGAAGAAGAATGAAATAGTTTTAGAGAGATCAAATTGTGATCAGAAACACTTAAGGGTAAATATAGAGAAACTGAGCACTGACTAGTATTAGAAACAAATAAGTTAAGTAGAGAATTTAAATGATTCTCATTGTCTGAAAAGCGATTAGAAAAGTTATTTGGGTGGCACCAATTAAAGGGGGATTGTGTGCAACCAACTAACAAAGATACAAGCATTCATTTTCTAATGAATACAAAGTTGCCCCTCTTCCCCCTTTGATTAGTGAACTTTGATTATTAAACCCCCTCCCCCTCACTTTAGGGAGTAAGGGTGAGGTGGGGTCCAGACCACATACAGACCACTGGTTACTAATAATAAAATGGAGTTTAAAGAAATAATGGTTTAGTTTTAAAATTTAGATATTTAGTTAATAAGCATTAAAATATCAATATTAATTTAGAGACCTTCATTTGAACCATAATTTTACTGCCCCCTTTTTATTTAATATTTAAATTTTACTGCCCCCTTTATTTGTGCCCCTATCTACTATAAAGACCAGATCAAGAAGAGGACAATCAACCATATCTTTCTTTTTATTAGGAAATGACTTGTAATTAGTTGCACTCTTCACATAGACCAGTTGGCAGAATAGAGGGGAACTGGTTTCTACTAACACATTCAACCATTGATAATTGAATAGTAGGGTCATTTAAAAATGCTAGCATTTTTGGTGTGAATTTGACAAGTTTGTAATGTTTGTATTTTCAGATAGTTGGGTATAAATGGTCATTACAGGTTGTTAATCTTAGATCGAAACAAAGTGTTAAAAAAATTTACAAGCATCTCAAAATGGCTGAAAATTAGACTTTTTAGGCAAATGGACATTTTGCATTTAGATATATTTGAGTTCTAAACTGCAACAAGCTGCCTATATTTTGCCCATTTATTGCAGATTAGAAAACTTATCTGTAAAGATGAACAGAATAAGGCTACAGTTAGTTTGATTTTGGCATATTTCATCAATTTTAGGATTTTTTCTAAAGTTGAGGAGGTCTTAATTTTTTTCTAATTTAATACAAGTTAATAAAAACAACTTTTTTAATGAGAGAACTATCCAAAAAATAGTTCTAGAAAAAATGAGACACTTATTGAAAGTGAGAAAAAAGTTATATAGCTCTAAAATAGTCTGTTTTGACCATTTATAAAATGTTATAAATGGGGCCACTGTTTGATGTTTCTAAAGCTATAATTTCTGAACCATTGTACTTTGAACTCTGAAATTTTAAATTTAACCCTTCCACATTATGCACATAACAATATGTAAAAATCAGGAAAATCAGAGATGTTGACCCACATGTCATTATATAATGATTTGATATAATATATATGATTTGATATAATATATATACCCACATGCCATTATATAATGATTTGATATAATATACATGCCATTATATAATGATTTAATATAATATAATATAATGATTTGATTCTTAAGTAAACAAACAAGTAAAAACAGGAACTGTGCAGCAACTGCTCTTGAAGAGCAGTCACTGCACAGTTCAGTTTAGGTGTTTTTCTTGGTCTAATTTGCATATCTCCAAAGATATCATTACTCCTTTGTGTCAAAATATGGTCAACTGCAATGTTGTGGTCTTCTGCATTTTACATTTTACATGCAACTTTTCTTACATTTTACATTTTACATACTACTTTTTTTGCATTTTTTATAAAAATTTTTGAAGTTTTTTTTCACTTTAAGTGAAATCTTTTTGACATAGAAGTTAAGATATCTTAAACATACTGACAAAAAAAAATTTAGTTTTATGAGTAATAAAAAAAAAAAAAAATTTGGAATTATATCTGCACTTTTTTGTTACAATTTTTTTACAAAAATGGCACCTTTTAAATCCGTGTAGCGGCCCTGTTAATTAGCTAACCTATATATTTTTAGATAATATAACCAGTTTAATTCATTTAAAAAATTAAAAATTAATATTATAATATTTTGAAAATTTTTAAATTATAGCCAATATTTTGAGTTTTTCCATGGTTTAAAAAATTTTTTAAACCAATTGAAAAAAATATCAATTTAAACGAAACAAATTTTTTTAAACAACTTTAAATTTTGAGAAGGAAACCATATAATTTTATTTTTGTTTACAAATGTAAAAAAATTACAAATGTAAATACTTCATGTAAATGCAATTGCACTTATTTAAATAATAAAGATGTTAAAATCATAAAGATGCTTCTTTAAATTTTAATATCACTTTGTTTGTGTTTACCTTTAGTTTTATCAGAAGAAAATTAAAAGTTTTAAAATAGTGTCTTGTTGTAAAAGGCAATTCTTTGAATTCATAAATTTTGCAGTAGATGTAAACGTGCTTTTTTAATTACGCAAAGAAAAACTATTTTATAAATTTTTACAATAAACGTTCAAGTTGCAAATACTTCCTTATATACACACGTTTCTTAAAAATGATTTAAACATTAGTAACTATATTCAAGTAATTTTAATTTTAGTATATTAAATTTTTATAACAGAAACAATTTCTTGATCAATATTTA